ACCTACTTGAAAATAAGGAACATAATGAGAAAGGTCACTTACCTCCACAAACAATAACCATTTAGTTATCAGAGTCAAATTAACACCAACAGCACCACCCAAATTTCTTTTTGTACATGAATTTCCTAAAACCCCTGTAACATAAGCCAGGAATACTTTTTTGCAGGGACCTCAATACTGCACCAAAATAATCTCAGATTTTAAGAAAGGGTTTAGGAATTTAAATTTCATTAAATGGATGGAAAAAACCAAGAAACAAAATAGCAGACTCAGAGTCACATGCTGGTGAGAGTGGAGGAGATAAAAGCTGAATTCTTACCTCATCTGAGGTAAGAGTATAGGACACAAAAGATGAATTCACTTTAAATCTTTGCATTTCCTGATCTCATAACATATCCTTCTTTTCTCCCCATCCCTACTGTTCCCCCAAGATGTCGTGGTGTGGTTGACTGCAGTGTTTTTCTTCCCTGTGCTTTGGCTGCCATGATGGTACAACACTACTGCAAGCTATCACACAGTTGGGTGACCATGTTTTCCTACATGCTGTCATTTTTGTCTCTCCAGTTTAGATACTTTCATGGCCCACACTCAGCCAAGAAAGCCCAGGGAAGAGGGAGCTCTGTCTCTCACACGTACCACCCACCAGCACCATGACTTCAACATTCCCTCCATGTGGCTGAGCCAGTCTCAGCTCCTCCATGTGCTGCACACTGAAGAGGACAGAATTGGGGAGTTACAAGTAAGCAAAAAATGAGCCTGGTTAAAAATATCCGAGGCTGCAAACATGTTCTTTATAGAGAAGTGTGAGTTAGCAAGGGTCTAGCAGCAAAGTCACAGCTTGTAATGTTACTTAAAAAAAAAAAAAAAAAAACCAGGAAATCTTTCAATATTTGACACTATTGAATGATTTTCCTAGATTTTTAAAGCACATCAGATACATCCCCAGAGAATACACTGAAGTTTTTCTGATCCACTTAGGTCAACTTTACTGCTGAATAATCTAGAACAATGGAGTGAATAAAATATAGAAGACAAGGGTTTCCAAATTACCTTGGTAATATCTGTTGCTCACCTATTGTGGCCTTCTCAGAAAGATGACTACAGCTTTGGAGTCTTATGGACACTGAAGTACCAGTCCCTACTCCTGAAATCCCATGTGGGTGGAATTCCCTGCCCTCATTTGAGATAAGATCGGAGGAGATAAATCTGCATCTACCTTTGCCTTTCTCAACTCCTGCTCTCATAGCACATCCTTCTTTCCTACCCATCTCTCACTGTTCCTTCTTCTAACATGTCACTGCCCAGAAGGTAGAGTCTGGGAAAAGTTTGTTCTGCAGAGGTTGAGATATGTTCCAGGTCTAACCAGTGAGTGATGTGAACAGAGATCAGCTTTCACAATAGTGTCGGTATAGACTCTAGAATGCTTAACCCGTAGGAATAAACTGACTTTTTTCTTTACATCCTTGATTTTGTTTTGCTTTAGACTTGTTATTCTCATGTACCTGTCATCTGAAACTGAAAATCTTAAAGCTGAATTTATCATAGGTTCTAAGTACTGGAAATGCGCTTAGGGATCACCCGTTGTAATGTTTCCCCAAGCGCGTTCTGCAGAATGCCACTACTGTGAAGTCCTCTCCAGAAAAAAATGATCAGAGCCAGGTAAACTTGGAAACATACCACACTCCATTCCCTCCTTGCATCTGCACATATTCCAGGCACCACAGGGTCCTATCGAAATAAACTGTGTTAAAATCACAGTATAGCTTTTGTAGGGGGCTCTGTGATCCCTTCCTAGAACACAGGATTTCTGTGGGAAAATCCTCTGAATTTTAAATCTAACTGTCCATAAAGTGGGAAGTTCCTAGACATTGAATTTTCTTGATGATAGCAGATAAAGATATGTTATATGTGATGTCAGTATCTGGAAACACATGACCCATAAAAGATTTACAAGGTCAAAGAAGCAATTAACCTTGCAATTAGAAATGTATATGTACTCAACCATATCAGCTCATAGGTTCAATGTGCATTTGAGGTGCCATTTGGGGCAGACCCAGGGACTGGTTCATATCAAGAGAATTTTAAGGCTTTAGGACTGGACTGAATATTGAACTGGCCTATATAAAGATACAAACTCCATGCTCAAAGAAGCTTTTTTTAGTGCACGCAAAGCTTGCTGTATCTCAGAGTTGCTCAAAGGCCTAGGCCTTTGTCACTATTTTTGAAGTTAGACAAAATGTGTTCACCTAGAGAGGATTAAAAATGATCTGTGTAAGATGAAAATCCTTCGGAGTAGATACGAGAATCTTAAACTGTTGAGTGTCTACATTAAATCAAAGATCTGGATGAAAAGTTAAAAGCTGAAGCAATTCTCCACTTTTTCTGAATGTATCAGGGATATAAGGTTGATCATAAAATTAAATTGTTTTAGTGTGTTTACTACCCACCCCCCATGTCAGTTCAATATTCTGGGTCACATAACCAAGGGGATAGCTCACAGGTGATCATTTTTAGTTTGAATGTAGAACAATGCTTTTGATACTCTTGTGAAAGCAAATTATGTGTTGTCTCCAGTTTTATGGAAAGAAAAATTCAGGAAAAGGTTGGGAGTCATCCTGAAAAGCACCAGAATATTAATGGTGATGTTTGGTGAAAGCACTCTTTAGAGGCAACAGGGTCTGAAGAGTTAGTGCTTTCTGTGCATTGTTTCTATTTTAATTTAATTAAGTAACTAATTTATTTTTGAGACAGAGTTTCACTAGGTAGACCAGGCTGACCATAAACTCACAATCCTTCTGCCTCTGCCTTCTGAGTGCTGGGATTCTAGGCATGTGCAATTATGCCTGGCTCATTTTTATTTATTGCTTATATTTTTTCAGTTTTTACAATAGAGAGGATTAAATCCTTTCAGTTTTTACAATATCACTGGGAAAACTCTGCATGAAGAATATACTTCTGGCAAGCCTGTCTCATGTCTTTTATCAAAAAAGGGGACAAACTGTCAGTTGATGTCAGTAGACCAGGACAGAGAGTGGGGAAGGAACCCACTCTGGACCCCTATAATTTATGAAGTACTCTACACCTGTTCCTTTATCTCAATCCTGGTGAAAACCTGTGGAGCACAAGTCTTTGTCTCTGCTTTATAGATAAGGAACCCAGGATTCAGAAATGTCCCCAAACTTTCTGAGCTCAGGGAGTGAGGAGGGATCTGAGCTGGGAATTGAACCTCTGTCAGCCTATTCTTCCTATGACACCAATCTAACTCTGATAAAAGAAAGGTGTGTCATACAGAGCAATATACAAGTACATAGAATGAAATGTGACTGTTTAAAGAAACAACTAGATTTCGCAAGAATGGCAGGTTACGTTTAGGATGTCAGATATCTAATACTGCATGCCTTGTAAACTCTGAATGAAATGACTTAATCAGCACTTTAATCCTGTGCAAACAGTCACATCCAGAGATATTTAGAGCAGCCCTGGAAGGCTTTGCTTTGTAGTCCTTACTGTTACCACATCCTGTTTTTTATATTATTCTCCTAGTACCTCCTAACAAAGAAGGTATATTTTTAAAGGCCCATGAGAATTCTTTTCCATTTTCAATCTTTAGAAACCTTTTAGCCTTTAGGGGTGAACAACATGCAGGAGGATACAAAGGCTATGAGCATCTACCTGACTGACAGAACTTAGGATGGTATAAATTTGGAACACAGCAGGCCTTGGTCCATGGTATTTGTCAGAACTGTAAGAGACTGCTCCTAACGGTCTTTTACCCATAACACTGAACCATGGGCTGGACTCCCAAAATTATACTATTCTATTATTTCTATCTAATTTTCTAAGCCTGTATATTTCACATCCAGTGATTAGCAGAATAATCAAACTAAAGTGGCATTTTCAAATTCTTCTGATTATAAATCATTTCACGTTCATAGTCAGACCTGTTCTGTCTACTTAAACTACATAGTACCCAATATTCTATATTAGAGATATCCTCAAACAATTTGTACTATCTTGAAGGCATCTTGAAGGAACATTTGTTGTTTTCTTAAATTGTTTTCATTTTCCAAGCTCATAATTAATATAAACTAGTTTTTAGGCTTAATGACATGTATGGATAGAAGTGAGGTAATATCATAAGGAAGTCATTATAAGGCTAACTTCTGAATGAGTACATGGACCAAAGCTTGCAGCTCACGATTATCATTTGTAGGTGTCAGTTTGACTACTATTCTATATAGAAAACTGCAAATATTGTGCAGGCAAACACGCTTAGTACTTAGGAATGGCTACTAGAGAAACTGACAGAAGGAAGAAAGAACAAGGGGATTGGAAGACCTTTACTGTATTTTGGTACTAGAGGAAGAAAGGGATTTCTCAAGGCTGAAAAGTGAAGTTGGTAATTGAGTGATGACAGATGAAATACCAGAGTAGAGTTCTAACTTGAGTAGAAGAGTGAAAATATGAAAAACCCAAGAAAAGCCGAGTCTGCCAAGATACTTTACACTGGTTGTTATGGGTTGAATTGTGACCTTCATCTCAAAGGTCTTATGTTAAAGCTCTTAGAATGTGATGGTATTTGAAAGGAGGACCTTTGAAGAGATGACTGAGTTAAAATGAGGTCATTAGGGTGGGCCCTAACCCAATCTGATTTGAGTTTTAATTTTTTAAGCTGGACACAGCTATCTATGCATAAGAGGAAAGGCCAAGTGAGGACCCAGTGAGAAGGTGGCCAATTTCTGAGAGGTCTCAGAAGAGCCAAACCTGCCATCAGCTTCGTCGTGATCTACACCCTCCCAGAAATGGGAGAAAATAAATTCCTGTTGTTAAAGCTGCCTAGTCTGTGATATTTTATTATGGCAGCCTGAGCAAACTAAAACACCTACCTTAATACTCGGCAAACAAGCCAAGCTAATATGTTAACTGCAAGTTGGGTCTTCAATAAAATCCAGGCATATTTTGGGAAATATTTAATCTGTCCAAATAGGGTGGGGACTCACCACATCGAAGGCAGTAAACACGTGACAGTAGTGGTGATTGGACTTCAAATCTTTTGTGATATAAGCAAATGTTGATAGGTCTTCTGGGTCTTGGGCAGCACAGGAGATATTACGAATTTCATGCTCGGCAATTATGTTCTGGAAGAAATGACATAAATGACCATTGTTTTCCTTTGTAAACTAGCATCTTTTTAGGATCAATAAAGTAGCCCGGGAAGCAGCTGTTTTCCTTTTGTCTAGAATATTCTAGACCATCAACATTCAAAGTGATTCAGTGCATTATCTGTGGGCAAATGTACTCTGGGTCTGGAAAGAATGTTTTCATTTATGAAAAACAACCTAAAATAGTCATATCCTGGAGCAGCGGCTCTTACCAGGTGCTTTGCACGGAAGCAGGCTGGGTGGCAGACGCTTTTGAAAAAACAGTAATTACTAAGCATTTTATCATTTCTATTCTCCTTCCAAGTGTGGTTAGGCAGCCCTGCTTCCTGTTAATTCTGCCTGGAAAAGATTATTTGCCACTTTCCCTATGTGAGATGCACTGTGACCCGAGGGGGTCTTTCAAATCCCTCCTGCCTTGTTAGCCCTGTTCTTTTCTCTTTATTTTTACTGAGGGTCTCATGCTAGGGAAGCACTGCCTACTGAGGTAAACTCCCAGCTATGGTCCTCTGTCTTGTGCCTGGGCCTGCTCCCCTGGAGCAAAGGCAGGGCAGAACAAAGCAGGCAAGTGGAAGCCTCAGGTGTTCGCTCTCTTCAAAATTCTGGGAGGTTAACTAAGATGTAGTCTCAGGACAAGGGGACACCCGTGCTGTAATATTCAGGCCTTGGGTGCCTTGCTGGATGTAGGGCCCTGTGGATATGGCGGCCTTTTTCTCACAGTACTCACTATGTGTAATGACAGGATGTGTTTGGCTGATACTGTCATTATCTTACAGGTGAGGAAACTGGGCCTTAGTTTCAGTGTCTCATTCAGAGCAGGTGTGGATCTGGGGCTGAAGTCTGAGGTTGTTTGTAGAACCCAGGCTCTTTCAATTGCATTGTGAAGCCCTTCATGATCTCTCCTCTCCCTGGTTTAACAGAACTGCATGTTTCCTTTCTAGCATTTCTTTGTGCCTTCTCCTCCTTACCCTGTCTCTGCCCACCTCTGAGAATAACTGGTGGGAGGAATGGATTTGTACCATTGTCCTGAAGCACAAAATAACCATGGAACATTATCTCGGCTACAAAACCTGCTAGAAACTTCTTTTGATATATAGATGTATTGAAAAAGTACCATAATAGTGCATTTTTTATCTTATAATATCCCACTTATGTGTTTTGCAGTTGTCATAGATCTAAAACTCTCAATGCTTTGGTTACCCTAATCACTTTTTAAATGCATGTCTTATAGAACCCACTGGCAATATAGTGTTCCATGTCTGCCCATCAGGGCCTAAAAATGTTTACGAAACGTCCGTTCCTGCCAGCACCCCAGCAAGTACTTCATGTCCCTCACAATACTGAGCTATGTGCTTGGGAAGCAATTACAGAATTAACACATAAAAGAAAATTAAATGAGGACATTCTTTGCTGTGGCCTTGTATGCTGACATTACATGCAGCTGCTCAGTCCAAAATAACTCAAATTGAAATCGGAATCCCATAAACAAGTAACGTTCCACTGCAAGTTAATTTCAAAATAGAAGGTCATTGTTCTCCTCTGGCATTCAGATAGCATTTCTTCCAACAGGAAACGAGATTAGGAATTTGTGAGTTTCTTAAAGGAATTTTAAGCTCAGTGTAGTCTTAAAAGGTATGATGTTAGCTGGTGTGGAGAGTCTTGGCCATCACTGGACTGGTGCTGCAGGGACCCTCGGGAGTCTGAGAGGAGTTAGTTTCACCTGTCCAGGATCCATGGTATAGGAATGAGCACTGGCTCCAGCTTTTAACTTAGTTGGCATTTTGTATTCTACGTAATGTGGACTAACTTCATGGGGAAACTGTAACAGTGACAAGAGTCCTGTGATTTGTATTGCATTGAATTCACTGGTGCCTCTCGACAATTTTCAGCAGCAGGTAAAGTGGATCTTTGGAGCTTTTCTTCTGTCTTTGGTGATCCTCCAGGGCTTTCTGGAGCCCCTCCTCAATACTCCCCAGGAACCCAGGGCTGGCTTTTTTTTTTTGGAGGTGCTAAGGATTAAACCTGGGGCCACACACATGTTAGGCAAGTGTGAGTTCAGCAGTTACTTCTGTTATTCCTAAAATCTAAGCTATAAGGAAAGCAGCTGTAGGATAAAATGGCCTACAATCTGAGTATCTTTCTATATTCAGACTTTCATGGTAGAGGCCCAGTGCTAGAACATGGCTAGGACTTCACAGTGGAAATACTGCCTCCCTCTGCATCACCCACCTTTGTGGGATGGTGAGGCCAGTTCTCTACCTGTAGGATGGCCCAAGTTCAAAAACTCTGCAGCTGCAGATTGTGTGGAGAGTGGTTGGTTGGCTTCCTCCTTGGAGAAGAGTCACACATCAATACGTGGCTCCTTTGCAAATTAAAAGTTGGTGCCATCTTAAGATACATGTTGTGCCTCAGTTTAAAATTAGCCTCCTTATATGTTATTAGCTTTTCTTTCTAAGCATGTTCTAAGGAGATCAGAGATTTACAAAGGCACAAGAGAAGAACTGGGGAAACGCTCACTCTGACCCTCCTTTGGGATGGACAGTTTGGCAGCTTAGTGCCTTCCCACAGGGAGAGATTTTTGCCTGACTGCTGCCTTGCGTCATGCTGAGAAACAATCTGCTCTGGTGAGCGCAGAACAGAATTGTTTGGACTGGCCAATTAATACAGTGGTTCTAAAAGGGTGTGAGATTATGCAGTAATGAAGCCTAGAAACTCTTGCCACATCCTATAATCTGAGCTCCACCATTTACAGCATTTCACCTCAGGCTCCTCCTTAGCTAGGCTTTTTCTGAGGGAGAAACTGCCTGTCTCCTCCAAAGAGGGCCGTGGCTGAGGACTAACTGGAGATGGTCCACAGGGTACCTGATACTGAAGACCACAGCACACATATCTAATGTGGTCTTAATTGACTCTAAGTTGCTTAGGAGAAGCATGTGCTATTAAAAACAATGTGTGAGTGTTTCGGTAAATGTTCTGGATTATTTTGTGTCTAAAACATATAACACATGTTTGAAGTTGGCATTCGAAAACAAAAAACAAAAACAAAACCACAAAACAAACCCTGGCCTTGCACTAATTTAGCCAATTGGAAGATTGAGGAGGGGGGTCAGCACAAGAAGGCCAAATGTGACCTAGTCCTCAGTCATTGCTGGAAGTGGGAACTAGGTCACCTCTTAGAAGACCCCGCTGATCTGAACAAAGGTCTGTGACCAAACAGTTGGAGTCCTCCAGGCCAGTTCCCTGCTGGAGCTACCTCCGAGCTACGGATCTACAGAAAGTTGATGTGATTCCTCTAAAACATTTTAGGATTAAATTTATTCTAAGTTCCATTTTTAACTCAAGATTGTTTTCTGCTTCTTCCTTCTTAAATCAGGATTAGTGATTTGTTTCCTAAATTGTTAGGCAGTACATTTATGCATTTCTAACTAGGCATCTAAATCTTCCCTGTGAACTCAACCAAAGCTATTTATTTATTAGAATAAAAGGAAAGAAATGCTTCACTGGAGAGTTCATCTTTCACATAGTCTAATGGGCACTAATAGGAAGGGAAGAGTAATTAACACATAATTAATTATCCATTGTACTTTAAACTAATTGGTGGAATGTAGCTGTGGAGTAATAGAAAAAGCATTAGTTTAGGGAGCAGGAAAACCAAGTTTTGAATTCTTCTCCATGAACCACAGGCTGTGTGACTGTGGGCAGCGCTCAGCCAAGGAGGCCTTCATCTCACCAGAGGAGCACAAGGGGATGCATGTTAGGAGACAGTGTTGGGGAATAAAGTGAATGAAAGCATCAGATATCAACAAAACCAAAAAACAACAGTAAGTTGTGTGTTTGGGTGAGTCTTAGTACAGACTTAACGGCCACTAGTACCTAAAATGGTGAGACCATCAAATACACTTCCATTTCACAAATCCTTTACATCAGACCAAAGAGCCCCACCAAGACAATACTGCCCAATGGGGGAATGAAAACAAAACTAGAAAGCAGCACTCTGGAGTTTATCAGTGCGCTCCTGAAGCCAGTCTCTCAGCCTTGGCTACAGTCTGGTCCCACCAATGAACACTTACAGTATTCTTTCTCCTACTTTCTAAATATATAGTCTTTCTGTTTGACTTCCCAAACAGTAACTAACTAGGCTTTTGCCCAGATTCACCCAATCTCTCTCTCCCCACTGTCATATTGGGGAAGATTAGTTTCAGAGTTTGTTGAAGTGAACGCTCTCCAATTCCTGTCATAGGCAGTTTGGTGCCACCTGCCACCAACATATGTACCTTGCTTTTGCTCTAGATTTTGAATACATGCTGAGGGCCACACTGCAAGGACATGAAAATCCTTTCATGTCCTTTCTTTATTTGGAGTCATATTTACACAAAATTATCTACTGCATATCTTCTTGTGTAGATGCTTTCATAGAGTAGTGACTGGTAAGCAGAAGGTCAATGGATACTCATCTTATTGCTGGTGAATGAATCAGAATTGTCTCCTAGAGGTCCAGGACTATTAACTTCTACATCCCTCAATGTGTCCAAATGCAACATACTCAACAGCCCTCTCCCTCATTGCTCTGATGGTAGAGTGTGAGTCAGAGTGGATGTTAATGCAGATACAGCCAGTTGTACCAACAACAGCTGGTGGAAATGACCCTGAAGACTGCAGGAACTTCTCAGGGCAAATACCCCTTGTTTAGAAATTGTCAGAATCCAGCTCAGCCCAGAGAGTGGCAAACTCATTCACCGGAAATATGCTGCTCTTCAGGTTTTTCAAATGCAAATAGGGTAGAGACAGTTGCTCTAGGTTAGAGGGAAAAAAATCCAAGTGCCAAAGAGTTTGTTTAAATTTAGATATAGCAGATAGCAATGGTATCTTCAATGTTTTAGAACTTCTTAAACAACTGACTATAACTTGAGGATAAGGTAATTTTATGTATCAGGAACTAACGTTGTCGGCAAGAGATAGAAAAACAAATCAGCTGGGATTGTTTTGATCTGAGCCTCTGCAATTGTAATCTGACAACATAACTGTCAAGAATATATGGCAGAGCTGAAATTGTCATTACATGTAAGGCTTGAATATCATGTGGCCATTGTCAGTCAGTATGATAATGCCACATTAGAAGCTTTCTGCCTAGGTTTCAGAATTTTTTCTAAAACAGGGAGGTTGTTTTCCAAAGTAGATTTGGGGAGCTCAGGCTTATCTGGCTGCTGATACAACAATCTTACAAAACACCAATTAGGAAAACTTTTAATTGGTTGATTCAGATGCTCGAGTTTATTACAGACACCAAAGAATCACTACCCAGGGGACTTTTCTCTGGCATTTAAATCTAGTTGCCTTGGTCCTAAATTACCATTGATGAAGTTCACTTGTTTCATGCCTTTCCCTTTCACTCCTCCAAAATGGAGTGGGTCTGGGTGGGAAGTCTGGGCAGGCAGTGCAGAAAGCAAATGCAATTCACCACTAGTGACCACCTCATTTCTCTTCTTTCTATACTGTATCATTTGAAAAGATGAGGGAATAAAATACATGGACCTTTAGGGCTTTGTGAGGGGGAGCCAGTCAGCTTTGAGTTCACAGCGAGTAAAAGCAGTTATACCTAAGCACCATGATTCTGTGGTCTTGGCCCAGAAAGGAACTCTAGAATACTTTTCAAGTAAAACAACCCAGTTGCCCACACTTGACCTCAGAACTGTGAATAGTTCCCACTGTGAGTACAAAAGCACAGCATGGCCTGAGCTGCTTTTCTGAATGTGTCTCTTAAGAAAATAAACAGTTGAAACTCTCTTCCATTTGGGAATTAAATGCAGTTAGAGAGTATGGAAAGTCAGAGGATGTGTCAGGTGCTAAGTACATGTACTAAGGGACAGGACACATATATCTCCAGAGACATGCAAAGACAAATGCTCCAGTCTTTCATCTGTTAACATTTCCTCTGCTGAAGGAACAATGATATTGTGACTTTTCATTCTGTAAGTGATTTTTTTTCTTGTTTTTAATGCACTCTAGTTCCAAAGGGACATGCCAGAGAAGTAGGTGTCCCAGTCTATTAGAGACGGCATCATGAAAAAGTAAATGCAAAATATGTATAGTAATTCCAGATCAAGACGCACAAATAAAATATGCCTCTCTATATGAGAGAGAGAGAGAGAGAGAGAGAGAGAGAGAGAATTTACAGATATAATTAGGATGCATCAAGGTAGCAGGAATGCTAGGATTTTAGATCTCAACTCAGTACAGTATCTGGTGTTTAAGCCAAAGAGAAGAGTGGCACTTACCTTATTTGTTGCATCAATAAATTTGACTCCTTTATATGAGACTGAAAGAATAATAGTAGGGACCTTCTTCATTTGCTCTGTAGACTTCTGAAATTAAAATTAGAAAGTTGTTACAGCAATGTGTGTTGCATGGCAACTGAAGCACATAATTTTTCCTCTTGAAAGATAAAAATGAACTCAAGCTAAAAATCACACACACACATACACAAACATACCCCAAACACACTCTAATTTAAATGTTTCTCTCTCTTGGGGTTAGCCATGCTTTGGTCTTAGAAAGTCATTGTCTTGTACTTAAGGATCTAAACAGCACTGGCCTGGCTGCTTCCTGTGGGGGCACCACTGGCCAGAGGATGAGGAGACTGCGTCCATTCCTTTTACGAGAGTCAAACCAGTCACGTTTAACTCCAAGGATGCATTCAGTGTCAACAAAACACATGCCACTGCTGCCCCCTTTATTCCTAGTCACTCCTGTTCTTCAAGGCACGGGGAACATTTGGATATGGACTTAAAGCAAGGATTTAAAACACATCACCGTGAGGTTTTTTTTTTTTTTGAACCTGGCCAAGTCTACAGAGGTTGCTATCATATTTATAGCAGAATCGCACGTAGGATATAATACTGCTCTATGACAACTAAGCACCCCAAGAGCTGCATGGATTTTGAGCCACAGCAGCACATTGGACAGTCCAGGCAACTGCTCTATCAGGTAGAGCTGCCCATTTCCCTAGGTTCAGTGCTTATGAGAGGTTCACATGGGCTTAATGTGTGTAGGGTTTGTAGCTTCTTCAGTTTCATGCAGCTGCAAAAAGTTTCTCCGTAATTTAGTATGTGCCTTTTCTGTTTAGTTTCATCATTCATCACCAGTCACCAGCCTGTTTACTTCATTTTCCTCCATGGAAACTCTTAATAATCACATTAAACATCAAGAAGAACTTACCTGACAGTTAGCCTGATGGATTTTCCAGAGAAGACAGGTGGGAACACAATAGGAGAGAAAACACAGGAAAAAGGTGAGAAAGAGGAAACCATTTCAGTAATTCACCAACAGCATAAATTCATTAAAAAGTAAAGGACTTCACAAAAGGAAAATAGGTTCACAGAAAGATGCAGATGCAGTGAAAGTATTATTTTAGGAATTGCTGCAGGCTTTCGCAAGCTGCTGTCTCTCCTTTCCTTTCTGTTTTCTCATTCTGTTTATTGCATTGTACCGTCTTAGGAATGACATACAAGAACCTTTCACTCTGAGCTTTCAACAATAGCTATCTTATGTGTATTAGAGGAATCAGGGGAAAAAATGAACTTTCTTGATTTCATCATTTATATTACCCAAGGTTCCAGTTTTAAATTCTGAAATGTGACCAGAATTAAAGAAGGCTTTTAACTGGACAATAAGTGAAATTAATTGTATTCAATAATGATAATTATATTGCATCTTTCAGTTGACCTCCCCCACCAAAAAAAAAAAAGGTGTTTCACATTGTCTTGATGGTTTTAACCAAGTTCTTTTTTTAGAGCTATCTTATCTGCTTCAGAGACAAAGAAGTTTACTAAGAGTATTATTTGCTAGTTATTATTCCACGTAGCATTGAAAAAAGGAAGCTCTCTTGAAGCACTTTTTAACTAGTTTTAAAATTACCAAGACTTGTCAATTTTCTTTTGCAATTGCCAAAGAGATATAATGAAAATGGAATATAAGATTATATACTTTCATGTTTTTAATGATTTTTCTCAACCACTTCTTAAAAATGTGCAAGACAAATCAAAGGCAAGGCTACAAGAAATAGCATCCAGCATGCTGGTTTTAAGGCAATTCTGTAAATAGGGCTGGGTAGCACCCACAGTAGCGTGGTGGACTGAACTGTGTGAAGAACTCTTTGTAAAGCATAATGAGTTGGAGCAAATCACCTCTTGTAATAAATACGCTCTCCTGGACAGATCTATCTGTGACATGAAACAATATGCAGCTAAATTATGATGAAAATACTGGTATTTTACTGAGTATCAAGAAAAACACATTTGCTATCTGTTCAGCAATTGAGAGGTTATTCTGGGCAGCCCAAAATGCTCATCATTGGAAAAGCTCAGTGTCCACTTCAGGGATGTCAAAATTGTGTGTGATTGCCGTGGCTGGAAGTGGCTGCCTGAGTGAGTGCTGTGCTGAGGGCTGTGAACCTGCAACTGAGCTCATGGGAAAGAGGACTGGGCATGACATTTGCTATGGAAGGAGGAGGAGAAAGGGTAGCAATGAGGTATACAAGGCCATTCCTCACATACACACATACATGTATTTCAGATATAAGAACAGTCACAATGCAGCAAGAGAGATGATATGAACAGAATGCCTTCAGAGTAGTGAACAGGGATAGTCTCATTTTGCATGAGAAAGCAGGGCAAGTCTTCACTCACTGACTTATTTGTTTATTCATTCAACAAACACTGGCTGCTTGCTAGGGGTGACAGAGCTGGCTTTGAAAGGATGAAGAGGAATTTTCCAAGTGACAAGAGGGGACAAAGTGGGCTATTTTTAGCAGCAGAGAATCTGCTCCCGCACACATACAAGTTATAAATGAGAAATACTATGGTGGGTTTAGGTAACTGTGGGAAATGAGGATGACACAGGTTTGGAAGGTTGTGACTTCCTCTGCCAAGCTTGGAAGTTTAGACAGTGGCACAAGAGAAAGACAGTTCTGGTAGTTGTATGGAGGATGGAGACTAGGTACAGGGAGGCAGGAAGCTGTTGTGTAAAACCAAAGGAAAGACCCTAAGCTGCTTTGAAGAACTGGCAGTGGAGAACAGAGGGAGGAGCCGGGATGCTGATGAGGAAGGGTTGAGGGGATCTGTTGACTGATCTGCCAGGAAAGACGAATGAGTGGGACAGTGTCACAGACGGAGCATTACGAGAGACAGGAATACTGGAGGGAGAGGTGCTTTTGCAGGGACATAAGGGAGATGCCTTTGCATGTGCTCAAGTGTGATAACCAAGTGGAGATGTCCAGAAGGAAATTAAGGATGAGAGTCAGATCTGAAAATCCACCCGCACTTTGGGGTGGTCTGAGAGGGAAGCAGGCTAGGTGGCTTAAGGAGGGTTAAGAATAGAGGTAAGGCATTGCCTTACCTCTGAAGAAACAGTGAAGGAACCCGAAATAGAGTTGGAGAATGCCAAAGATAGTGTCACAGAAGTACTCAAAAGGCCTAAAAAGTAGCGCCTATCATGGTGGCCGGCACACATAGGGGTTGCTACTTTTATTGAGCATGCTGGGTAAGTTCCTGGCTTCAGCAACAAGAAAGATTTGTTGCTGGGTTTTACAAAGAGCAGCTTCAGAAGAATGAAAGGTACAGGCATGAAGAGAACTTAGTGACTATCGCCAGTGAGAGACGTGAAGAGTCAGAACAATGGATAGGCCAGGACACCTGCTCTAAGGCTGACCAGTGGGCCTCGGTCATGATTTTTGTTATGATTTGAAGATTCCACATTTGATGCTTGGCCAAGCTGAACAAAACCAAGAAAAGGTAAAAGATGGCCATTTCTTTTTCTTTGTATGTCCCAAGAACCCCTGCAGGCTCTCTTAACTGGAGACAGCATTGTGGTGTCAGTGGGGGTGTCGAACATGACTTTACTATATTCCATTCCAGAGCCCAAACTGTAGTTCTCTTTCCACTGAGTTACAAGATGACAGACATAGCTGGCCACTGAGTTTAAGGGGGACCATGGGAGGTCTTCAAGATCATACTTTCTGTCTGTAAGAGACAACAATCCAACTTCTTTTTAGGGGGATTTTCTGATGGTGTACTTTGACAGAGCTTTCAAAAAAGCCTTTTTGTACATAATTTTAATGAAAGATGGATGTGCATAAAAAGAAGACAAAAATACTGAGTCTTCAGGAAGCCCAAACAAGGAGGCAAGAAATGCAGTAAGCACTTGCTGCATTTCATGAGGGCTTTACAGGAAAGGTGAGCACAGAGCTCCAGTCTGGTCACAGGCAGTCTAGGTCCCACCTTTCCCATTTGCTCTCTAGTGCTGCAATAACCATTTTCTCCTCCTTCTTGGATGAAGGTCCTGAGAACACTGATCTGGTTACAAAGCCCATGCTCAAGTAGGACCAGCTTTTAGGATCTATCTGCATGCTTTGCTGGGTGTCTGCACAATTAATACTCCCATATGTTCACATTAAAAATTCAAGCCTGAGGCTGGCAGAGTGCCTCATGTCGTAAGAGCTCTTGCCTAGCAAGCGTGAGGCCCTGAGTTCAAACCCCAGTGTCACCAAAAAAATTGAAAAAAAAAATTACAAATTCAAGCCTGCACCTGTCAGCCCAGTTAAATGGGAACTGTAAATAGGAGGATCACAGCCCAGATTAGTCTGGGGATAAACATAAGACCCTTTCCAAAAATAACTGAAACAAAAAGGGATGGGAGCGTGGCTCCAGTGATAGAGCACCTGTCTAGCAAGTGCAAGGCCCTGAGTTCAAAGTCCAGTACTGCCAAAAAAAAAAAAAATTGAGCCTTGTTTATTTGTATACATAGAATTCTTTTCTTTAGGCTCATTTTCCCAGTAAAATGTTCAGGGCAAGTATTACTTATGGTTCACTCTGATTTCTAGTCTCTTTTCCTTGTCCTACACTCTTTGAGCCTTCCTAGTTACAAAACAGACTCATTTGTAACGAGAACCTCAGAGGACCTACGCAGGAAAGATTCATGGGTAAGGGCCCAAATTAACTTAAATTTTGCCACCTCTTGCTCTCCTGTACAAAAGCATTATAGTGATATTCAATTGCATTTTGTTCATAATTTCCCAAGGTTTTTGTCCTTTTATTATTTCAAGAGAAGTAAAAAACATTTATATAGAGATGTTATATTTCTGAAATCAGTATTTGGGTTTATGTTGTCTGCAATCATTAAACAGAACCAAATCATAATTTCATACCTGGAGGTGTCCACCTGACATATTGTTCTTAATAAGTAATTGAATACTTTTGGATCTTTTGTTTTTGGCAGTGCTGGAGTTTGAACTCAAGGCCTTGTGCTTGCTAGGCAAGTGCTCTACCATTTGAGCCATGCTCCTTGTCTTTTTCTTTTTTGCTTTTTCAGATAGGGTCTTTTTCCCTGGGGGCCAGCCTCAGACCACAGTCCTCCCACCTGTCCTTAGCTTGTTTGTTGAGAGGGGGGTCTTGCAGACTTTTTGCCTGGGCTGGTTTCAAACTTTGATGCTCCCAATCTCCGACTCCTGAGTAGCTAAGATTACAGGCGTGCACTATCACACCCAGCCCATTGGATAATTTTTAAAAGGAGGGATACACCAAAAAAAAAAATAATAAATTTTTCCTTTTTAATTAGAAATTAGGAACTCTTTGGTGTCAGGTCAGAAGTCTGGTTTTTTTGTTTGTTTTTGTTTTGGTTTTTGTCTTTTAAAGTCTTAAATCATGTCTTAAAAATAAGTACAGTTGTTCCTCAGCATCATGGGGGGATTGGTTCCAGGACAAACCTTAACAGCAAAACCTGTGGATGCTCAAGCGTGTAATAAAATATAGTTGTATATAAACTATGCACATGCTGTCATGCTTCTTAAATCATCATTTACTTATGATACCTAGTACAAATGTGAATTCTGTGTAAGTAGTTGTTATACTGCATTGTTTAGGGGATGATGACAAGACAAAAGGGGATATGTTCTATACAGGTACAAAGTCGTTTTGTTTTTCAAATATTTTCAATCTGCAGTTGGTTGGATTTGAGGATGAAAAACCCATAGATATGGAGGATCCACAGCAGTTTCTCTCTCTCTCTCTCTCTGAGACAGTCTCAGCCTCCTAAGTGCTAGGGCTATAGCCCTGTACCACCATGCCTGGCCTATAGTTTCTTACCCTGAATGCGGGATCAACAGTGTGGGAATATTCCTTTCTGAGTGGGTGGACTCACTGATAACAGAGCACAACTGCTCAGAATATGAATGA